GGTCACTGCCCGTTCTGCTCGGCGCTGGTCGGGCCGCAGCTGGAACACTGCGCTCAGTTTGCGTCCCCGCTCTACACAAAAGATGAGGCCAGGCTGGAGAGGGACCAGAGAAGGGCCACCGAGAAGGTCCAGGGCCGGGGGAGCTCGCCGTGCAAGGAAAGGCTGAGAGAACCGGGTTTGCTCAACCTGTAAGAAAAGAAGGCTCAGGGCGGACCTTGGCACCACAGTCCCGTATTGAAAGGGTGGCTACAAGGGAGATGGAGACTCCCTTTTCCCAAGGAGTCACATGGAAAAGATATGGGGTAATGGGTACAAGTTACTCCAGGGGAGATTCCAACTGGACACAAGAGGAAAACTTTTCACAATGAGAACAATCAGCCGTTGGAATAATCTCCCCAGGGAAGTGCTGGGTTCCCCGTGGATTCCCCATCATTGCACGCTTTTAAGCTTCAGGGTGCTGGGCCACTTTGTGTAGACCAGGCTTTTGCCAAGAAAGGCTGGACCAGATGATCCTTGAGGTCTGTCCTAACCTGGGATTCTGTGACTTCTGTTTTAGATCAAGTCTATGAGTGCTTCAGCTCCTTATGTTTTGCTAAATGGTGTTTATAACAGTGATAAATTTGACTGATGGCATGTTTCTACTGAAAGTATGTGTTAGAAGAGGTTAGTAGGTACTTTAACACGATTACCTAACCCTCTAATAGCTCTTGAGCTGCTAAACTTTGCAATTGCATTTTAATAGATGCTTTAATTAATGCCAAATTATCATATCCTAATACAGTCAGGTTTAGAAGTTAAACACAAACCCTCTAAGCCGCAGGAAATGTCTAGTGCATCACTGCTTGCACAAAGTTAAAATTTAGGATCTTTGAGGAAAACCCTGGAAACATTCCAGGTCTTTCTGTCTGTGCAGGGCAAACAGCAGCTGAGTTTAGATACTCTGGGTGAGACACACAGATTATTCAGCTGTCACTCAGGTTTATGGCAGTTCTGTTGTGTTGCACATTAGTGACTCCATCTCTATGTTCCAAATTAGCAAAGAATCAGTATTGTTTCAGGAAACGAGCTCCTTAGCGATCCCACATAAACCCCACATTTCTTTGCAGAAATGTTCCTGTTTATGTGAAGTATGATGCCTCAGGAATCATTGGTCATTGTATTTGATGTAGTTGCTAAACATCTTCCACCAAAAAAAAGTGTATAAAGAACTGCTATGCCAAAGACAGAGGGAGTCCACTACAGGGTACCGCTCTGGATGGTTTGGACAGACCGATAGTGCGCTGCTGCATCCTGGCGGATAAATGTTCAGGCCACTGTGTCAGTCATAAATCAATCTGCCTACACAATTTCTAATAAGTTCTTGCCAGAAACCAGTAGCTTTGCATATTGTCTGCTGTCGATATAAAAGATAAGAAGATTGGCTTCAAGGTATAGAGTGAAATGAGGGGAAACCAGTGTCATGCACAGAGCATAAGTGATGCTGGATTGTGCTTTTGGCGTGTAAGGAAGCCCACAGGGAATGGACCATGCCTGGCAACTCCCCTTGCATGAACCTTCAAACAAGATTGCCATTTATCTGGAACTCAGTAGGAATTTTCAGCCAGATTTTTTTATTGTTATTATTTATTTATTTACTGAGATTTTGCACTTTCCACAGAACTGATATTTTTCTTGGAGAAATATTAATTTTGCTAAATGTTTCAGTTTTCTGTGAGGAAAGCCAAAGCATCAGAAGTCAGCGTGAACCTGCTTACGCCTGCCCCTGCGCCATGGGGCCAAACAGAAGCTGTAGTGTGTCTACCCACGTATTTATCTTCTCTCACCAGTCTCACTGTAGGACAAACCCAATCTGTTAGTCTGTTTTGGTAGAAATATGTGAAGATTCCTGTTTTTGCAGAATAAAGAAAACTAACCAAGTGATTCACGCGTGTTTCTACACACTTATCGACACTAATTCTCTGGGAATGATATAATGAAAATAACATTTTTCCTTATCCAGATGGCTTGCTTATTCCCATAGGTGGAACGTGCTATGCTATTTTGATGACAGTGCCATGTTTTGGTATGTAAACCTGCCCTGTCGTGATGGCTGTAAGAAGAAACTGAAACTACAGCTAGTCAAACATTTCTGGAAAAACACCGCCAATCCGAACATCAGGTAAAATGTGCGTAGTTGTGGAATTTAAATAGGTGCCCCTTGCCTGACATGGATTGCTCTCCTATCCCAGTGGGCTGCCAGTCCTGATACGGCACTTTCTGAGGGGAGTCTTTGCTAAATCGCGATGTTCTTCCAGAAGAAATAACTAAGAAAAGGCTTTTGGAGTATCTATGAGAGTCCTTTCTTGGCAGAGTTTATCTAAAGCCAGGAAGAGGCATTAAAATAAGAGGCATTAAATGGGATTAAAGTATTGCAATGGGAAAATAGCCCATATTAAGATGACATGGAAAATTGGAAACACTTAATCCACAACATGACAGTATTTTTCAATATTGACTGAACCTCAGAATACTTGGGAAAAGGTAACTGTAGGAGCCAGGTGTTACACATTTGAGTGGTCACTGGCTGTGTTATTATTTAAGTCTGCTTAGGGTCACTATCAATTTTTCTAAGATTAAAAATGAAACCTGTAATGAGAAGAGAAACATGAACACTTTAGTGTATTCCTGTATACAAACTCAAAATTAATTTTTTTTTTGCAGACATGGATGTGTTACTGCAGTGGCTGGCTGTTAAATAATTCTGTATATTATTTCTTGGACTGATTCGATGACTAAACATCCTATTATGGGCTAATGCTGTGTTTTCTTTGCAAATAGCAAATGTATAATTGAAGCAGTAATGGTGAGAAAAAACTTTAAAAGATAAGATAAAGCCTCCAAAATACCTTTCAATGGTTCTAAAAATAGTTGAGACAAGTTCAAAATCAAACAGATGAGGAAGCGATCTAAATCCATAAAGTGACTGTGTATGCTTAGTAGTGAAGAACAGTGTGATGATTGGCACTTAAAAAATGCACATATTCTGAAATTGTGAAATGTAACACAAACTACGGGAAGTTCAGGAAGTTGGCAGTAACGTGATGTTATGTGTGTGCCAGCGAGAACTTTACCTGAGCTATCTACTGGATGCCGTTCCCCATCATCTCAGTGGTTGTCTTTGTGAAAGTTG